CTGAGAGACTCTTATTTTCAGACTGTCTGGTTCCTTTAAAAATTTTGAATTGCACTGAAATTAAAACCACATCTGAACAAGCCACACTTCTGTTTTATTCGTGTTTGATTGTCGTAAGAGCTCTGCACAAAACAGGGACTTGGGGAACCGAGTCCCCTTCATCCTCTTCTCAGGCACCAGGAGCTCCCTGGGCCCAACGGGGAATCCGATGGAGGCCAACTGGGTGGCAGGAGCGGTTCCCACAGTGACAGTGGCCCTCCCCAGACGCTATGCTTGTCACCCCCGTGCTCTCCAGCTCAGTCAGCAGCAGCAGAGTGAGCACACTCACATCTTCAGAAGCAGACAGAAGCCATTAGCCCAAGCCCACGTTCCATGCTAGACTGACCTTTGTAAATATTCAAACGGAGGTCACCTTTGTCCCCTTGTAAGCGGCACTGCTGACAACGGAGAGGGAGGGGCAGACAGCACAGTGGGGGCCCCCCTGCCCTTCATTTTCACTCTCCTCCCACTAGGTTGTGTTGCTGTCATCTGTTCTATGACAAGTGATCTCACTTCCTCCCGCCAGCCTGACACCCTGCTCCTGCCACCTCCTCCTGGCTCCCCTGCCGCCTGCACCTCACACACAGCCCTGGGACTGCCATGACCACAACCGCCACTCGGGTGCTTCTCTGTGCTACTCCTGTGTGGGTGCTTCTGCCAACCCCCTGGCCACGTTCCGCGCAGGCCCCTTGTGCTCTGACACTAAAGTGGCCTCGGCCCTCATCGCCCGAAAGGCCGGACATCCTCTCCTCCAGAGTCTAAAAGATGTCGCAAACAACTTTCACTAAGAGATGCTTTGCAGACAGTGGCGGGGGCACGAGCTGCCGCCCAGGCCTACTCCATCTGTCTCAGGGCCTGGGAGAAGTTTTCGAGGGCAGCCTTGAAAGCCTGCAGCAAGAAAGCTCCAAGTTCATTGCTTGTTTCCTGAATGTCTGGGTCGAAACTTCCAAAGACGGGAGTGGAGACCTGGACGTCCTCCCGGCCGGCCCGCAGCAGCACACCACGCAGGTCCTCAGCGATTGCGTCATATTTCTGCCGGTCGAACTTGGACGCGGCCAGCTCATCCTGGGGGTAGGCGGTGCCCTCGGGGTAGCAGTCGGTGGGCACTGGGAACTCCACCCAGTGCAGCCGGGGCAGCTCACAGAGAGCCACGAAGAGATGCCGGAGGGCATGGGCAGACAGGGGGTTGCCCAGGAAGCGCAGCTCCTGCAGCTGGCGGCAGGCGCCCAGGGCCAGGATCAACATGCTCACCTGGCCATCGGTGATGCTGCACTCCTCCAGGGTAAGCACCCTCAGCGTCTGTGCTGCGCGGCCCAGCAGCCTGGAGAAGGTTGAGGGGAACAGGCTGAGCAGGCTGTGCCCGCTGAGGTCCAGCATCTCCAGGTGGGCAGCGTGGGTGCCGTCTGCCAGGAAGGCCATGTCCGCGTGGTTCAGGGAGCAGTTGGCCAGGTCCAGCGCTCTCAGCGGGGTCCTTAGAGGGCTGCAGGGTGGGTGTAAAACAGCACAGGTGACAGGAGGCCCAGCCAGGGGCTCTGGAGCAATTAGGTGAATTCTGTGTCCAGCCAGCAGACCTGCTGCACGGCCCAATCCACCCGCCGCCTGATTACGTTTGGCTGGAAAGCTAAAATGGTTTTGATGTTTTTAAATAGCTGAACAAATCAGAAAAAGGATGTGTAATATTTTGTGACATGGAAAAATTACATGAAATTCAAGTTTCAGGATCCACAAATAAAACGTTGTTTGGACACAGTCATACTTGTTCATCGACGTACTGCCTGTGGCAGCTCTGGGACTGAAACGGTAGAGCTGCGTCCTGGAGACGGGCATGGCTGCCCTAGCGAACAGTTCACTTTACCCAAAGGCCGCTCTGGCCTTTGTCTCTGGCCTTTGTCCCCAGCCCAGACAAGGGTAAATCTGTTTTGTTTGTGTCCCTGAAGAGAATGACAGCTCACATGCTTGCTGTGGGGCAGTGAGACACATGGGAACTGGCAGGAAATGAAACACCCTGGTTCGGTCTAAGTGAAGACCTGAAGCCACACAAATTTAGGGCTGGGAAGGGCCCTGGGGACAGCCAGTCCAGCCTTAGCATTGCCTGTCACCTGAAAGACCCTCCCGTTCTGAAGAAGGGGTGTATGTGTCCCCGCACTGGCAAACACACAGCGGGGTGAGACCCTGCTCTGGCCAGTTCTCAAAGCCAGGGACAGAATCCACACCCAGGACACTCAGCCTGCGTCTGGGGTCACCTGGCTGAGCGCTGAACACATGGGGTCCTGCTCTCTGTCCCCACCCATCCTGCTGAGGCTGCCTCCCTCCTGCCCCCTGCTCCTGTGCTCTGTGCACAGCTGAGCACCCGCTGCCTAACCCACAGGGTGTCCTCTGCTCTCTCGCCTGCCTCTGTGGCTGGCAACTGCTCAGCCCTGAGCTGGGGCTCTGGGCCTAAATCATGGTGATGTTTCTCTGTGCATTTCCCTCATGCCACATCCATCCACAGGACATCCTGTCAGTTCTCCCTCATGGTGGCCCTAGCCCCAGTCCTCTCCCATCTGGACTTGGCAAGGCCTCCTGTGTTTGGAAAAGGGTCAACAGAGCAGGCTTGGCTGCCAACCTTGGGAGGCCTGCGACAAGGCTGCATTTGGGGAGGGTCCCACTATCCAATTGGTGGGTGGTCCCTGGCCCTAGATGGTTTGTACAAACAGCATGGTTCACGCAGGGCACCTGCTTCCTTCTGGGGTCTGGATGTGGGTGTGCGCCCAGCCGAGGAGCCCACCTATCAGCTCCCAAAAGACACCGTGGGCATGGGTGTCTAACCAGCTCCCAGTACATGGCACCTGCACACATCGTCAGGGCTTGGTGCTGGGGGACTCCACTGGGAGGTGACCCAGGAGGTCCTGCCTGCACCCCCAGACTCCCCCCCCCATGCTTCTACCCTTTGTGGCTGGTGCTCTGTGTACTTTCTCTGTAATAAATCACAGCCCTGAGAACAACTGTATGCTGAGTCTCCTAGGAATCACCAAACCTGGGTGGCCTTCAGGACGGACGCCTACGTGGGCCTCCCTGCCCCTCCATCCAGCGGTGTTGTGTGTGCCAGAGGTCAGAATGGCTGTCGTGAGTGGTGCGGACCACAGAGGCTTTGCTCTCAGGAAAAGCTAGCCCTTCCCCTTTTCTCCATTCCCCACTGACTGACTCCGCCCTCTCCCCACTGGCCCCGCCCTCTCCCACTGACTCCGCCCTCTCCCCACTGACTCCGTCCTCTCCTCTCCCGCTGACCCGCCTCCGCTAGCCCCACCCTCTCCTCGTTGACACCTGGCCCTGCCACATTCCCAGCTAGGCCCTTTGCCCCTGGGTTTCCCTGCCTAGCCTGCTCTCTCCAGGCCATTTATTGCACAGAGACTGTTCCTCAGTGTCAGAGGTGACTTCAGGAGCGAACCTTCCCTGACACTCTCCGCGCCTGGGCCTCCAGGGGCAACCTTGAGGTAAGCCTGTCGTTCAGCCCAGTGTTGGGGCAATTAGTTACAGTAGCAGGTAGTTAATACAATATAATGTACTTAACTTCTGTATTATTGGTTTGCTAATTAGTAATTTTCTCTTTTGCTTGCTCACTGTAAGTCCTCCATGAGTTCCCAGAGCTTCACCCCCCTCCCCTCCAGTCTATCCCCTCCTG